GGGCTGAGGATTTAATACAAGCCACAACACCTTGTTATTATTAAAAAGATAACCTAATTTTCAATATGTGAATATTGTTACGTTCTCATTACATTTAATAGTGTACCATTTTTTATATTTCTATATACAGCACAGATAATATTACAGTTTACTAAATATTATATTTAGATGCGAATATTTGTACGAAATGTCTGTCACTCTTTACGCAAAAAGTAATACCTAGGTACTTAGTAACTTAGAAGAATTTTGATGAAACTTCATTATTGAAAACCATGCTAATAAGTTTCCAATATTTTTTAAATCTCATTACTTTTTCAACATAACAGAAGTAATTTCGTAACTTCAAATTAGTGCCATCAGAACATTAATAATTAATTTTAATACATATTTCGTTTGCATTACCCTTATACATATAAATTTTCGTTCGTAACTAGGAAATTCTGTTGAACGAAAACATAATATCCAAGTTATGAGTAAATATTGTTCCGGAATGTTTGTATTTGCTCTGGTTAGTTACCAAAATATATTCGAAGTTAAATTAATTTTATGCTGCAATAATAATTAATGCATTGAATATCTCAAATATTACATTTGTGTAGATCAGTGAAATAATACTTTATTTCACTGATCTACACAAATGAGGACGCCGCGTACGGTGAGCGGTAAACACCTCAATTCTGTTCGTCCGCGTTCAATGAATCGAAAGGTGCAAAGTATTTAACACTTTTTGGCATTGATTGGTATTGTCGTGGAGCTGTGCACACCCGGAAGCTGCTGATCCGATTTGTTTTTGGCTGTGTTTCGTGGTTGAAGAGTTATCACAGTGGGAAGCTAACTTGCCGTTGCAAAATTCAAATACCTACGCACTGCGGACGGCAACAGACAGCGAAGCGCTCACGGAACGGTGAGTCACCGCAATCTACACTACACCTCCCGCTTCGCGCCGGTCGAACGAGTCGGTCCGTGCGTACTTTAGAACCAATATCACTTCTTTGCTTGTTATTGTCAACAATCAACATGAAGTGTTCGGGCTGTCTGCAACCCATATCAAAGGAGGAGTGCATAGTATGCACAACTGATAGCTGTATGAAAGTATTTCATAAATCATGCGCCAATGCTTTGCGCTTAACCCCTTCACAGCTGGAAGACTGGACGTGCCCAGACTGTCGGGCGTTGGCAAAGAGGGGCGGTGACAACACCGACACTCCCGTTAGGCAGAATGTTACCTTCCGGGATAAAAGTAAATCTATCCCAAGTTTCAAAAATGATGCACCTTGCTCGGCCCCGGCCAGCCTTGACTCGATTGCCTCAGAAATTCGTCTCTTACATCAAGGTATGATTAGGATGCAGTCGGATTTTGCCGAACGATTCGATGCGTTAATCTCCAAACTGGCGGACTACGACCTGCGTATTAAATCTTTGGAGGAGACTGAAAAAGAAAAAGAAAAAGAAAATGAGCTCCTCAAGACACAGGTCGCGCATTTGCAAGATCAACTAAATAGACAAGCCCATATATCTCTCCAGTCAGAATTAGAGATCTTGGGTATTACTGAAACCCCAAATGAAAACCCTTACCACCTCGTTCTCACAACAGCCGTCAAAATTGGCTTAGACCTAGATGAGCGCGATCTTAATTATGTGTCACGGACTGGGCCTCGGCTTAAGGAGGATTCAGGTGACACAAACCGTTTGCCGCGCCCTCTGGTTGTCTCGTTCACGAGAAGAAGTAAGCGAGAGGACTTTATTAAACAAGCAAAAACACGCCGCTCGCTTGATAGTAAGGACATAGTGGCGTCCGGACCGCAAAGAAGAGTGTACGTAAATGAGCGGCTTACAAGTGACTGCCGACGTCTTTTTCGTGGCGCCAGGAACTTTGTGCGTGACAACGGTTACAAATACTGCTGGACCCGCCACGGGAATATCTACATCAGGAGAGGAGAAGGCAAGGAGGGCAGTCCACCTATTCACATACGCAGTTTTGAGGACCTGGAAAGGATGTCTGCTGCAAGAGGCAAATAACTACCTTCTTCGGCTGTATGACCTTTTTGTGCGATGCTTTATAATAATATGTATTTTACGGTTTCATAATTTGCCCCAAACGGTCTCTCCTGAGACTATGTGTTGTTTTTTTGTTATATTTATTTTTCATTGTTATAGTCGGGCATCTTCTCAGACTACACACTCATTACACACACACACCTCTGTTTTTAAAATACAACCACACTTTTCAAATTCAGTCTCACAGTTTTGCCATTTACTCTCACTACAAACAAACCCCGCGTACACTCACTCACTTAGTTATGAAGTACACAATCACAATAACCACACTACTCCTCAGCACCACACAGTTTTTGATGGCGTTCAACTCAACACGTATCTTAAACATAACTCTAATATATTTTACTTACTACTATGGATACCCTTGAGCTCTTGACTGAAATTGATCAATCTCTAAATGTTGAATGCCACTTAATTCCTATTATTGAAAATTGTGGTAAAATTTTAAGTAAACATTCTGTTAAAATTTTACACGCGAACATACGGAGTATGCAACGTAATTTTGAGAGTTTTTTAGTTGTTCTTCAGAGGTTGAACACTCCATTTGACGTCATAGTCTTCAGTGAATGCTGGTTGAATGACTCGTCCATATTAAAACAGATTGAGGGGTATAAGTGCTACAGTTCCACTAAGTTTATCAACAAATCGGGAGGTGTAATTATCTATGTAAATAACAAATGGTCTGGTAATGTTACAGAACCTGAAATTGAAGACGCGAACAGCCTCATGCTAGATATTCCGAATGCTTTTACTCTTATTGCCCTATATAGATCACCTTCTTTCACGAACCCAGATAGCTTCATCTATTCTTTGGGGAGGACCCTCTCATCAATCAATCGCAACCCTTGTGTAATAGTCGTCGGAGACACGAACATAAACATCTTAACAGACGATGTCAACTCATCAGCCTACCTAAATTCACTGGCCGAGCACAATCTGATATCAAGCATAAACTCCCCTACTCACTGCCAGTCTTGTATTGATCACCTTTTTGTCCCATCAACAACCAAAGCAGAAGCTGTTGTCTGTCCCGTAGACCTTACGGATCATAGTCTGATCATGGCAGGTATCTCACCGGACTTACCCAGACCGCCTCCCTTTAAAAGAAAAATGCTCAAAATTGATTTTGATGGTCTTGCACAAGCTGCAGAGCAAATCGACTGGCCTGCTATAGTTAATTNGCTCGCTATATAAAATATATGATGAGACAAATAATCTTATGGTATAGTGTGCTTACTTTCTGTGAAAGTGTTCTTTCATAGAAAGAAGCAGTGGAAAGGGGGAGCGAGAGGCCTCAGCCGACACTCCGGTTATCCGCCGCCGACACCCTGGGCGCAAGAGGACAGCTTATGGTCTCCAACTGTCCCTTCCTAACAGGCCTCGGTCGCTAGACATGGAGGTGTCTGGTGGCGGGTACGTACGAATGCTAAAGGCAACAGCCAATGGCGATGTCCCGCGTTCCCTCATATCACTCATATGGATCATGGCAGAAACAGTCAGGTTTTTAGTGGGTGTAGGGGCTACCCACCTTCTGGTAGGAAGAACCCCACATATGACATAACCCACTAGCTGCCCCCGCAGCTGGTGGGTATGAAATGTTATGCATTTTCCGGATAAAAAAAGAATAGTAAACAGGAAAAGTTTGTTTTGAATGGAACCGATTTGAAAAAATCTCTACTCATTAAAATTCAAAAATTTTTCTGCTGAACATAGTCTGTATAAAATATTCTCAAAATAGTAAAAAACCTTTGATAATTTACTATTTGATAAAGAATTTACGTATTTATTATTGATTAGGACTAATATATACCATTATTTATAATTATGGAGTCGGAGTTGGAAGATTTGAAGATTTTATAGTTTCCTTGAGCTGTCACTTGACAGCCTGGCACACTTTTACGATGGTGGATCAAAGTATTTTGGTTTGACTATAGAGCGTGAGAACACGCACACAGTCTTAATTATTTTAGTGTGAATAAAACTAGCATCGAAATTACCTAAACTTGACATGCCACGCTAGACGTAAACGCTCTTAAAGAAGTATGAAGTAGGATGCAGATACCACATATTTCGTTTCTATGCCATAAAGTTGTTAGAGGCATGCAATGTATACAGAAGTAGATTTTGCTTGAAATATTTTAGCAGGAATCTCTTCAGAGAGCGAAGTAATTAATTACATACGAAAAACGGAGCGATGGGATTTCATAATTACAACTGTCACGTTTTTTTACTTGTTTATGGGAGCTGAACTAAATTGTGCATGTATATGTAGAGTAGAGTGTATTTACTATACAGGGTAGAAACGATAAGTGATCTCACGCAATTATTTCTGAACTATACAAGATATCTAAAAACAGGTTACTGATCCTGAAAGTGCTTCATGAGCATTTTCAAACGCATTGTACAGCGTCCCTAGCGGAAATTTGTGAAAACTAAAATCTTCAATAATATTTAACGCGCTCGCTAGTGACGTAAACTCATACTAAGGGTCTTGCCACACTGGTGGATTGCAAGCGGAGCGGAGGCGCGGCGGGCACACCGCGGTCGCCAAAATGCTTGGAAAATGCCGCGGCGTGAGACTGCTCCGCCCAGAAAACGATTGCAATCCGCCAGTGTGGCAAGGTCCTAGGCCAGTGGTTCCCAAACTTATTTAGTCTACTGCCCACTTTGAGAATAAATTATTTTTTAGCGCCCCCCATTTTTGTATTCAAGAGTCGAGCTCAGTCGATGTCTAAGAGTCCTTCTAGTAGATGACGCCTCCCAAGCCTCTACACAACGTCCCGATTTTTTTCTGGGTCTCTTACCGCCCCCCTTTAATCCTGCAGCGCCCACAAGGGGGCGTTATCGCCCACTTTGGGAAAGACTGTCCTAGGCCCTCAGGGGACGTTAGGGCTGCATACAACGCGGCGTCGTCAGGCGAGCGTCACTAGCGCGGCACTCACCGCTGTCGGCGTTGTGCGAGTGCGGGTTGTGTATGATGCGGACGCGGCGCTCGAGGGAGCATCACTAGCGCGAGCACTCAAAATATTATTGGCAAGATAGGCCTCCTTAATTTAATTTATTGTCCGTGGTGCATAATCTTTTCTTAAAGGTTTTAAACCTTTGTTTGTCACCTGTCATCCGCTTTGCAACGGAGGGAAGTAGAACCTTAATTTCGAACTCCTATGTTCTTCTGATTAATTTCGTTGCGGGTCCAATGACAGTTAAACTTTCCCCCGGGACAAACTTGACCTTCATTGGTTGGGTTTTTGTGGCGGTCAAGCCGTAGATCCTGGCTACACAGGAGTTGCAGTGGTGGGAACGAGAGGTGGGAATAGTGCTGTTATAGATGACTCACGCTGAACTGTCCCACCAAACTCAATGACAGGGGGGCGCCACCATCGTTCAACTATACGGTTTCCAACATGGCAAAAATCTGAATCAGCGATCCGGTATTGACGGTGGGGCCACAGAATAATAGTAAGTACTACGTACAGAAGTTTTACTTCGCGAAGGTATTTACAAAAATGTATGCTCAATGTAATTAACAATATGGTGTAATTTAGCTTGTCTCAAGAGTCAAGCAAGTTTATCAGAAGTTTTGTTGACAAACGTCAGTGATCGGTACTGCGCCGAAGCTATAGGGCTGACTTCGGTAAAATGATGTGACGTGAGGTGCCAATCTGCAGAAAATGGCGGAGGAAATACATGATTTAGCATGAATTATCATGAATAATATTAACTACTTATTTACCTCTCAGTGTCTTCAGGCAACTTAAAAAAGTACATTCTGTGTTTTTATTATTATTTAGGCAGTTAAATACTGCACAGTATTTAGTACACCATTTTCTTTATTTTTTTCCATCATACACAAGAATACGCGTGCTTGAGTCAATGTTCGCTCGTATGTGAGGCCTTGTCGAATAGTACTCTTGTAGGGGGCAATCGTGCGTGTTTTGTTTTCGATGTAAACTCGCGGAGATGAACAGGCCTGGCCCCACTGTCAATGCCACCGACAGGAGGACAGTCCAGTATTTTGGAACTATAGCGCGGGACTCACCGCTGTCGGCGTTGTGCGAGTGCGGGTTGTGTATGATGCGGATGCGGCGCTCGTGGAGGTCGGCGGCGGGCCCGGCGCGCTGTTCGGCGGCGCTTCGCGGGAAGTAGGCGGGCGCTATTGATGCGTAGAGCGCGGCGTCGGCGGCGCGCGCGCAGGCGAGGATTACTAGGGCTGGTGTGGGGTTCTGTTCGAGGTAGCGCCGGATTGTGCCTGGGGAGCGATTGACAAATTATAAATTATTATTGACAGTAGCCTTATACAGGGATGCCGAGGTTCTTAGCGTCAGAAGACTCTTTTACTTAAGGGTTGCTGTGTCCATGCACAAATCTGTTCTGAACTCTGATTGTTACGGCGAATAGCTCGAAAAGCGTGTTTTTAGAGTTCCCTGTCCCGCTGTAAAAACTTCATTTGCTCGGCGTTTTGGTAACTTCCTCTTCCCACACATCTACAATAAACTTGTCAGGTTGTGTGATTATAAATACTGCACGGTCAGAGAAGCAAAGGTTTTTTTTTTCACGGACCCTGATGAACTGGACATATGATGAGTCTGAAGAATTCATTAGAATAAATAATTGAAGAAGAAAATCCCCCCCCCCCCACACACACACACACTAATACACAACACATCTACACTTTTACACACAACAGCACACACCCTACAGCCATCCCTGATGCCTTTTCGTCTTCTGTGTACTTTTCATATTTTCGATTTATTGGTTCCTTAAATAACGCTTCAGCTTAGCCGTACTTAATTCTACCTGTTAATCGTTATTCTCTCCTCCACAGGACAGGCAATGCCTAGTGTGGAGGTCTGTCTTTTAGTTATTGTATTGTTTGATTCTGGCAATAAATATTTTCATTTTTCATTTTCATTTTCATTTAGTCGAATATGAGCGAACGTGAGCAAATGTTGAGTGAGACCTGCGAATGTATGGACGCCAATTGGGAATGGCGGCGCGAGCAGCAGAGCGTGCTAGCATGTATTGTTGCTATATGCATGTACCTAGTTTTTACTAGGACATGCGTGCGACGAGCGGGTCGTAAAGTGTGTTGACAAATCGTCAGCCGCCATCCAAAAGCATAGGAACAAAATACGTGTCAGAATGTAGCTTAGTACACATCACACGTTCGTTAAAACTCCGAACACTGATTTGTTTAAAATGCTGCTACTAATACGGTACAGAAAAAAAGAAACTTTTGGAAGTTGAAGTGTACGCTCAAAATAAGGCTCTACTAACACGCATTGCCATTTCGGACTAGCAACCAAAAAGGTTGCTAGTCCGAAATGGCAATGCGTTACTTGATTTAGATAACTATCTCCTGTTCCGGTCTTAATCGCAAACTGTTGTTTACAAATAATTTATTTTGTTATTTAAAGTTAAGTGACAGTTACGGTTTCCCGGCTCAGTAACGACGCGAACCACCATCTTTAGGGTATGGTCACAAAATATAACAGAAGGTAAACTTATGTATGTATTTCGCTTCGCATACCTGCGCTCGGCCGTCGCGCTAGGGTTGTCTTGTCATGTGTTGCGTTTATTTCGATAAGATAGAAAAATGTTACTCTTAATACTATGGAAGAAAGACAATAACAGATATCCACATTATCCACGTATAATTATGTGGTTAAGTTTAGTACGTTATTATTATAGTAATAGTTTGCAAACAAATACACGAGAAGGAAGTAGTATGACGTAGTATGTAGTTGGGTGGTTGACACTATTATCCAATAATTCTTAAAACATCTTTAAACACTTCGATATTCCTAATAATTGAGTTGGATTTCAATTTGTCAACGTTAAACGAACTATTGAAATACAAATAAATACCTTACTTACCTCCCGGAATCAATTGGTAGTTTAAAAAACGAAAATTTAGTTTTTAATGGTGAGTGTAAGCAACCATCTACTTAACAAATGTTATAATACCCCATTTTTGTTGTTCACTCATTTTCGCACAAAAAAAAAACAATTTCACAAACGCGTGAGCAGCGTCACTCAAGAGAACGCAGTCGCGCTTCGCATTCGTCCGAGACAGTCTTGATAACGCGTACGTGAGCGGTGTCTATGTGTGCGTGGCTCGAGCGCGCTTAGTATGGAGTTTACCTTCTGTTATATTTTGTGGTATGGTGTACAAGATAGTGTACTCACGCAAGGCGACGTGCGCGGCCGCGTCGGGCGGGAAGGCACGGCGCGGCGCGCTCACCACACACAGCGCGAGACTGCGAGCGCCAAGTTCTGCCGACCGGTACAGCACGTTTCTGGAAATACACAGAAGCATTAAGTCAGCGATCAACACTTTCCATCAGGTGAGAGCAGACCTCTCTTTCCCACTGGGCACTTTGGGCACGTGCCCAGGGCCCCGCGACCGAGGAGCTTAGAAAGCTGTGGGGCCCCATTTATTTATTTGCCTCAGGGCCCTTGGTTACCTAGGGGCCGTTCAAGTATTACGTAAGTACCAAGAGGGGGTGGGGGGGTCTCTGTTTTGCTTATTTTAATGACATGGGGGGGTAGGGGGTCTAGATGATGATTACGTCATCGTTAGTTATTTACGTTTTTTCGTGGATTCCCGCAAATAATACATATGCGTAGGCACTCGCTTTGAGAACTGATTAGGGGAATTACCGTGCGCTATTCACTTGTCTAATAATTAACTCTCGTGCCGACACTGCCCATTGTAATTTGAGAGTCGTAGTCCGCATAAAATCCCAACTAATAATATTATAAATGCGAAAGTAACTCTGTCTGTCTGTCTGTCTGTCTGTTACGCTTTCCCGCTTAAACCTCGCAACCGATTTTGATGAAATGACAATGCCAGATTTTGTATGGAAGGTGGCGTCTTTTTTTTTTCGCGCGGCCATCGACCAAACTTTGTTTTTTGATTACAAAATAGTGTAATAAACCAAACTTACTATGGCATGTATACCTCTAAACTCAGTCTGAACTGAGTTACGAGCATTAGAAGTTTAATGATTTTCATACTAGATTTGCTGTTTGCGCGCAAGTTTTGTAAGAAATTGCAACAAAATATTGCGCTATTTTTTTATTGCGCTGATTCTGCTGCATACTGATGTCTGGAGCCTTTAATGGATGGTATTGTTTGTTTACACATACAATGTCATTATTTTGTTGCAATTTCTTACAAAACTTNATGAATTCAGTTCTTTAGTTGTTTCAGACGCAATATTGGAGAAGAATGTCTCAAATGTGGTTGCAATGTATGGCTTTTAAATAATTTCGCCATCATTGATTAAAAATCTAGTCCTGTTGTCTCCCCTAGCCAGGGGGGACAACAGGACTGCACCTGGGCTAGTTATGAAAAAAGTATGTTTTCGAACTCTAGAGGTCAGAGCGTTAGTCACCATCTTGAGTTAAAGGGCCGAACATTAATTATTTTTTACATTTAACGCTTCAATAAGTAGGTAGTTGACTATATGAGGAAAATGTCTTTGAGAAAATCGTCTTCGCCAGGGTAAATCCACAGAGGATGCTGTTACTCTCTTAACAAATATTGTTTCCTCTCACCTTGATTCTGGGCAGAGTTGCATCGGTGTCTTCCTCGATTTGTGAAAAGCTTTTGACTCGGTTTCCATTCCCATCCTTCTTAAGAAACTTGAGTCTTACGGAATTCGTGGTAACGCTCTAAAATGGTTCACCAGTTACTTGANTGGTGTGAATGTGTGCGTGCCGGCCTGTACGTACAGGCAAGCTGGTGTATCCTAATGTCACAGTATTTTGTTGATGAGACTCCGTCCGACTTTTTTTATACGTCCATGATGCTTTCAAGTTTTTTCAGTCGCTATTTTCTGGTTCGGTGTTTTTTCATGTATTTAATGGATATGTACATTATTTTTTAGATTTGTTGACCTGAATCGGTTTTTATAGTATTTTTATTTTAGGTTTTATAGTTCTTTATTTTACAAGCATGTCTTTTCAATATGTTACCATCTACTACGGGCCTTGCGATTCCTTCCATACAGTTACTCATAAACCACAGAAGCTACGAGGACTGAAAGGTATCAGATTCTTTTTTCACTTCATTATTAATGTATTTAATTTCAAATCGATGTGTAGCAATAGATTACATATCTTATCTCTTTGCTATGCTTCTAAGAAGAAAGGTGGATGTTACTGAAATCGCGTAATGAAAATCATATTTTGTTATCCGAATAAAAGTCTGATTCAATGATTCATGTATTTATTCTGTTGGTTCTGTACTAAATTCATTAATTGCTCGCAGATCGGCTTCAAAAGCTCGGATATAGAGTCGACCTCGTGCCAGTTCTCTTCATAAATTACTGCATGTTGGAGATATGTGGACACGAGGTTAGCAACCACTTTGGTTATAATCATTAGCCATCACCATTTTTATCCGAGACTACGATTTCGATCATGAGGATGGCCCAGGCCTAGCTAACTTCCACCACTTCCTATAACCTAATGTTTTTATTGGCTCTATGAAAACTATTTGAAAAAAAAGAAAAAAAAAAAAAAGAAAAATGAACAACACAGTGATTCAAGTCTGCAAAATTCCAGGTATTCCGCTGCAACATCCAGAACCTTTCATTCAACACACCCCACTACCTGGATCCAGTCTGCCAACGAGCTATCGTAGCGTGCCAAAATGCCACAGCCAAGCTGCTCCGCGCTCGCAACTACCTGTGGTTCTTTCGTCTCATCGAAGACCAGATCTTCAATCGGTCACCGTACTCGCCCACGGATTACTGGCCGCTGCAGACGACGGAGCTGGAGCCATTTGCCACGTGCCTGGATTGTGTTAAGTGTTGTGGGATACTTGCACAGAAAAAAAGAATAAATATCCTAACATTATTTAGAATATTTTATTCTACTATTATGTTTGTGGATTCTAAAATGTTTAGTCGCTAATGCTTTTAATTCATTACGCGAAGCAGACTCGATTATCATTTTACAGAAGACATGAACTCAAGGTCAGTGTCAAGAGTTGTCCACCTCCACCTAGAACTTCTTTTCGCGGTGTTTACTTCAGGGACCACTTGAATGTCTCGAGGCCTGGAGTCAAGGTGAATTGGTGCAGGATTGCTGCTAGTCCAGCTAGTGACTGAGTTGTCCACCTCCACCTAGAACTTCTTTTCGCGGTGTTTACTTCAGGGACCACTTGAATGTCTCGAGGCCTGGAGTCAAGGTGAATTGGTGCAGGATTGCTGCTAGTCCAGCTAGTGACTGCATATACCCCATGCGCATTTTTATGGCAGGACTACTATTTATTTATTCTGTGACGCAGGTCATCCTGCTCACCCTGCTCTTGAGTGAGCAGGATGTCGAGTTTGCCGCGCGAGCCCGTTCGCCCAGTGTGGACGCACCATAAGAACAAGATTTTAAAATTTTGCACATCAATCAAATTGTTTTTGCAAAGTGTAATAATCGCGAAATCTGCATAAGATGCAACAGTCCTAAGCTTGCCCTGCCATCGTTCTTAAATATACTAATGTTGACCAGACGGTTATTTTTTGTTCCAAATATAAAATCGGTTCGTTTGCGAGGAATGTGGAGGGTAAACAACTCAAGGAGACGGCGCGGAAGCTGCGACACCTGAGTTATGACTCTAGCGAGATAACGGTCGTTCGTTTAAATTTATTTATATAAAATAAACCTAAAACAATTTAACATTAAAAATGAGTGTAGAGTCGTTACAAAATCACCATAATATTGAAATTCCTTTAAACTAACTAAAAAGTCGATTCATAAATAAATAAATCAAGGAGCAAAATGAGAAAATAACATTCAGCTTTTTATTAACCCAGCGCGTGACAAAGCCAGCTAAAAAAAACAAGCACCGATGAGTATGCGAACAAAAATACCTTTATTTCTAACCGAAAACAGCAACGTTCGCATTGTAAACAAAGTAACCGTCACCGTTGTTTAAAAATAACTGTGGAATGCCGGATATTGCAATCCCGGCTAGTCACGGCTCGAGAAACGCCGCAGGTGCGGCGTAAGAGTCCCGGCGGAGTCTCAGTCGGTCCGTGGCAGTGGCGCTCGCAACCCGTGCGCTCCCAACACATCGAACTCGCATCGATCTTTATTACGATAACTATTCACACTGCGAATCTGAATAGTGATTTTGAACTTCCAAGTGAACATTTGTGACGTGATAGTAAAACTGGACAATTTGAAGAAGAGCAAAACAAAGATACAAGTGTAGAAATGAAGGTTTTAACAGTTGAAGATAAGGTGGCTAGTGTCGGGAACGAGAATGAGCCTACTGTTGAAGTGGAAGCACCTAAACTGACTAAAGAGGATCTGAACAGGTAATTAGAAAGTTTTAGAGATAATTAAAGAGGAAAAAATCACACAACAGAACATTCAGAAAATAAATGAATGAGTAAGCTCAGCTATCAGTGGCGTAACTATACCGTTCGAGGCCCGTGGCAAATTCATCGAATGGGCCCTCCTACTTTCCCAATATACAGTGTGAGATGAAAATAGATGAAACTAGACCTATTTTTATCGACAAAAAAGAGGTTAAAAATTTTTTGAGATTTTTTTAAATTTTTTATGGAATTTTTTTTCTTCCAATTACTTATTGTAAAGAAAACGTAATAACTTTTGAACTAAGCGGTATATCCTGATAAAATAAAAACAGTAATAATGCTAAATAACAGGTGATACTAAAAAAAAACATAAAATACACAAAAAAGGCCAACAAATAATAAAAAATGATACTTTTTGAAAAATATCTGATTTTAAATTCGTGTTTTTTTGGTTATTTGATAAAGGACATCATCCATTTTGGTCCAAAATCAAAAGTGCCGGCCAAAAAATAAAAGTGCTGTATTCTGATAGAATACGTCCGCCTTAGCATTTATTACNTTTTGGCATAGAGATAGTTTGAGTCCCGGGAAAGAACATAGGATAGTTTTTATCCCGGTTTTTGAAACAGGGACGCGCGCGATAAAGTTTTTCTGTGACAGACAAAATTCCACGCGGGCGAAGCCGCGGGCGGAAAGCTAGTATTATTATACGCGAGGCCAGCCTCCCGCGCGCGTTTTGTTTGGATACTAAACGTATTGTAAGCATTGAAAGTTATCATTTGTGTTTATGTTGGTTGATGCATAATTGATGCAATTATGTTTGTTATGTTCTTTTTTTCTGATTATATTTTTTTGTTCCTTACTCTATGTAAGTTAAACCTAATGTCTATTTTCATGAACTTTCCTATTTTAAAAATGACAATATAAAAAACATTTATAACAAAATGTTTACGTAAGCATAGGGGAAGTGCATTGCTTACTTTTGATGACAAGGGGGGCGGGGGGGTAAAAATGGTAAGAAATCTGCTTACGTAATACTTGAACGGCCCCCTAGCTACGCCACTGGCTATGTCAGTCACTTTAGTTCTCCTGCGGATCTCCTCATTTCCGATTAGATCACACACTCACTTGTAGGCGGGCCCACGGTGTGCAGCACGTGCGGCACTCTGTGACGTCACACTCACTTGTAGCAGTTCTGCAGCGAGGTCTCGGCGGCGGTGTGGTACTTGGGCGTGTAGGCCGGGCCCACGGTGTGCAGCACGTGGCGGCAGCGCAGTCGGAAGCCCGGCGTCACCGTAACCTCGCCCGTCCGGCATTCTGCAATGGAACACACCAGGGTTAACAAGATGATAAGCTGAAGAGACTAGCTAGGGAGCGTGAGCCTGAGACGGAGCCGCGAAAGAATGTCCATGGTCCAAGTTAGGACAATAACTCGCGACTGTTTCATGTCTGTAAATATCGTCGGATTTTTTTTGTGGATAGGTCCCGCTCTTATGGCGGAAAACTCTCACAACACTACACTTAATAAACAGCCCCATCAGCCAATCGTTATGCCACGCACTACCCGACGTAAAAAATGGAAGAAGAAGAATGCCAGCGGTGTCAGCATCACGCAGCCAATTCGAAAGTCAAGGGTCGGTGGTTCGATCACGACTGAGTATTAGGTTGATTCAAGCATTCTTCCACCAAAACTAACCTTGCCCTTGGCTAACAAAATAAAACCGAGGTCTCCACGTGTCGCAGACTGATCTACGTCGTAGTATACGTACAAACTGATTCTTGAACGCTGAATTTCAGACAGCGCTAGAACTAATACAGAAGCTACTACATACTAACCAAGTGCCCTCGTGAGGATTTCCTCCTTGAGCCCAGGCCCGAAGCAGAATCCGCTCGCTGGCGGAGTTCAAGAACTGTATCATCTGTCGTGTTTAATAATTTGGTACTTGAAGGGCAGGAGGACACTACTATAGGAGGTTGCCTCAAACATTCGTCACAGGCCAAACTTTCCTAAGATTATGAAGAAAAAACGAGAAGGTCCCTGTCTTAGGATGTGACATAAACTGATAAACTACTAACCAAGTGCCCTCGTGAGGATCTCCTCCTTGAGCCCGGGCCCGGCGGCGAGCAGGATGCGCTCGCTGACGGCGTTGCACTCCAGCAGCGTCTCATCTGTCGTGTTGTGATGTGGAGCTCAAACGCAAGTACACCATTATCAAAGGTTGCTCCAAGCATCTGTCATACGCTAACCTTGCTTGTCCTAATGAAGACTACTACATTACGTCTACTTACCAAGTGCCCTCGTGAGGATCTCCTCCTTGAGCCCGGGCCCGGCGGCGAGCAGGATGCGTTCGCTGACGGCGTTGCATTCCAGCAGCGTTTCATCTGTCGTGTTTGTGATGGCATCCACCTCCAGAGACGTTATGTCGCCTTGCCTGGAACATAATCGTAGATTTTATTAGACAATTTCATGGAGATAAAAGTGTGATTAACTCCAGCTGGTCTAGGTTACGTGCCGTGATATACTTTATCGCCGTCAAAATGTATGGGCAAAATCGATAAAATGGCATGGATAACCGCTTATTGCGGCGCGCATCCTAGGCCTACAGATGACGATTAAGGCATCTTCTGGGCGACAAAATAGTGTAATAAAGTCAGATCGACTTCTCTTTGGTATCATTAAATGGCACTTGTCTTCAATAATCGCCTATAAATCAAAACGAAGCCTGTTTTTGAATAAAATTTGAATTTACTAAGTTTGCCATTGTATTTTTTTGAGGGTTTTTTCATAAAATGGTCGTAGTTAAAGGCCGAAGCACGTTTAAAAAACAAGTAATTTTGAAAATTTTTAGTCCCAAGAATGATTCCGTTAAAACAATGGCCTCTCATATCATGCAATAAAGTACATCTTAGACCTAAATTACACAGGTCTAAATCCATGCTATCTCCACACAAAAGTACATAAATAGTAAACGCTAACCGAGGTAAAGGACCGTTTTATCTGCCGTCAAACAAGTCTTGAGCCGCGCGACACAGTTTCTTGGAATATTAACTGAATGCATAGTGGCTCATGAATGTCATGCGATGGGGACTAGACTCGGCGAAGGGCTAGAGCAAACTAAATTAATACTCCTAACTTCGTCCCAACTTGTTTAATGACGTTGTAAAATAGATTTTTATACTGTGGAAACACTTTTTAAGAGTGGCTATGTTACAGGTAATAGATACTACAGCCTGATTATCATAATATTCTGATTAAACCGACTCTTGAATGCTTAGAATGTGTATGTCTTATTACCATAATATGGAATAAGGCAGGTGAACTGACAAACAAACCTTTGTCGTCCCGCATTGGTTTCTAGTATAGAAAGAAATAAGGCAGGTGTGCTGACTATTGGCATGCGTCCATCCTCCACCGTTTCGCATACATAGTAAGTATTAAAGCGTCTGAAGTCCTGCATTCGCCTCTGGTAAACTAGAGAAGAAACTCCTGCAGTGGAAACTAAATGACCTAAGATAAACAAAAGGTAGTGACCATATTATTATAGCGAAGCGGTTGTTTATCTCCACGTCGTGCGCAAAACAGTTTGCCAAGTCCTTCATTTTCCTCTGGCGAATTGAAGAAGGTCGTGTTCCTGCCTGCACTGACCTAGTGATGATGATGGTGATCTACTGAATGACCAAATGATGAACAAAAGGTACTGACCATATAGCGAAACGGTGGTTGATCTCTAACGGGAAATGTAGGTGCAGTTCTTTAATTGCCTGTGGCGAAATGAAGAGGATCGTGCTCTTGCACTAAAGACCTGATTAATCTTCATCAGGTATTCGCTATAGCGAATCAGTGGTTGATGTCGTCGTTATACGGGAAACAGTGTGTAGGCCAAGACCTTCATTTGCCTCTGGTGAATTCGAGAGGGCCATGCTCTGATGCTAAATGACCTGATGAAGATGTTGATGTACTGATTAATATACAGGGTGTTTCTTGTAAGGTGTCAAGCCGAAGGCAGGTGATAGGTGAGGACTAGACCTATCGATTTCACCCCCATGTATGTTTTACGATTTTTCATAGTTTAGAAGTTATCGTTAATTTTGTGATTTTTTCAAATTGTATGACCTAGTAGGCTTTAAATTTTTTTATCTTTTTTTTGGGTCGACTTTTCTCAGATTTCTTTTTTTTGACAGATTCCCTATTAATTGCAGATTTTTGAAAAAAATAATCAACTTCCTATCTTTGATGCAA